TAGGATTAGAGCCTGGCTGAATCACCAGAAATTGAATATTTCAAATAAAGGTCTTTTTATCAAATATTTTTCATTAAAACTGGAAATATTTCTTGAATAAGGTGATTGCTGTAACAGCAAAGATAATGCCAGCAAGAACTGCATTTTTTATGGAGTATGTTAAACACTCATATAATAGCAGAAGTTTATGAAGGAAATCTTTAGGATACAGAGTTACATGAGTAAAATAAAAAGAAGGATCCTTGGAGACAATAAATATCTTATCATCTGTTGTACATGTTGTTTTCTGGGATGATCGTTTGTCATACAAATGATACTTTTCTGCAGAATGTTCACTGACTAATTTTCCTGGACTCCTGAGAAGGAGCACTAAAAACCAAGATTGCAATATTTACCCTTGTTTTGCAATTCCATCGTTCTAAGAGCTGTGTAGTCAAAATTACTGTTCTCAAACAACTCAACTAGCTGCTAGATATACAATTGTCTTTTATTTCTTACTCTTAACTTAAGGAACTGTATTCCTAAGAATAACATTTTTATGCAGAACACATTTTTAAAAAATGCTTAAATTCATGAACGAAGTGAATCCACTACAGAGTCTAATTGAAAATGAAAACATTAGTGTGATGTATAAAGCCTTCAGGATTGTCCCAGCCCTAAGTCAACACATCTAGGAACATCTCCAGAATATTGTGTTTCATATTTCTGTGGCCCTAACACTACAGCTTTATTTATAAATGAAACTCAGTCTGTCATATCGGACATTTCTCAGAGTATGATATTGATGCTATGTGACAATCTTGGTAGTGGTTAATTGAGTTGTCAAAGTTGAAGATTTAGAAAAAAAAAAGAGTTGGTTCTTTAAATCAGAAATATACTTTTAGAATTAAACAATAAGTTGGCTTAAAACAACAACTGTTTATTCTTTTGACTGGTGAGAATATGGAGGAACAGTTTCCTTTATATTATATTTTGCTACTAGGAGTAACAATCAGTAACAAACTGTATGCAAAACAGTTGAGTGATTCATATATCAAAATCCTCACAGAGTTACACACTGTTATTTTAATTCTAAAAGAATTTCATATCAGGATGTATCACAGTATTGTTAAAAATATCCAGACTTTGAAATTCTTTAATTAATAGTGGATTGGACAACTAAATTATGTACATGAAAAAAAATGGAATACTATAACCTATGTAACGATATATTGTAAAAGGAATATTTGTTATCTGGAAATTTTTATATTTTATATGTTTAAAAGGGCAGATTACAAAACAACATTAAATTAATATGTAAAATACTGAATTTATTGGTAACAGGAAATAATGTTATAAATCAGTATACATATAGTGTTCCAAAAAATGTGTACACTTTTTAACAGCTAGTAACACTTAATTTTCAGTCCTTTGCAGGTTTAAATGATTGGAAATAATGGGTAAAGCCAGGCTAATCTTTGGACAAAGAAAACTTAACCTAAAGTTCCACTAGACATTTTTTTTTTTAATGGAGATACATAGAAGATAAAGTTTTTGGTACAAAACTAACAACAGTCGATGAATTGATGGTCCACAAATATCAAACAAAATGATTCTTGATGTTTGTGATTCCATTGCTTCACATTATCAGCAGTGCCTGGACCAGAATGGTCATCAGTTTGAAAACAGGCATTGACAAAAAAAAGTATTAATTTCTGTAGATTCTCTTAAATTTTGAAATTGAACTGTATGTCAATAAACATTGACTCTATAATCATTCAATTTGTGTATACATTTTTGGGACACCCTGTATATAAAACACGATACCATTTTTATAAGTAATGCATAATTGGTAATCTAAAAAATATCTTAAAAGATGAAATTAAAAATTAGTAATAATTATTATATCTTTATTTTTAAAATATACTTCAATGAAAGAAAATGTTCCCCAAGAAATACAATTTTAAAGAAATCTGCCAATAAAAGTATGGTGAAATATCAAATGCATTTTGATCAAAAAGACACAAATTAAAAACATTAAGTACAACTGGTCACAACTGATAAGTAATACTAAAAATTATAAAGTCTAGCATTATCAGCAGTCTAGTTAAATATCCTTTGAAAATAGCACAGACTCTGATACAAAAAATTCAATTTTAGGAATATTTTTCAAGAGGTTTGATCCCCGGTGGGGGGCATGCAGGAGGCATCCAATCGATGATTCTCTCTCATCATTGATGTTTCTATCTCTTTCTCCATCTCCCTTCCTCTCTGAAAACAGCAAAAATATATTTAAAAAAAATAAAAAGTATATATAATAATAATTTGTCAACTAATTAGGGGTTGGATAAAACATACAACTAGGAAATAGAATAAATCAAACTATTAAACATGAAAAATATAAATATTATTTATTTACAGTAGCTATGTTCAAGA